TTTTAACCAAGTCCCCACGAACATTAGTGCCTTTGGAACGAACGGAAGCCTTCGGCAAATCGCGCGCCTAAGGTTTGCGATGCTACAGCTACAAGGAGCCGTGTGTATTGTGTGAGATTTCGCGATGATTTCTGGAGTAATCCTTCTCGTGCATAAGGTAGGAGGATTCCCATGCAGAGAGTCCTACGGAGTTTCCACTGCTCGAAAACGCGTGACTAGCGGCATGGCTTTGCCATGGGTACTGCTGAACGCGTCCTCTGCTACAATAGCTATCAACTCGGTTCATTCCTCTTTTTCTATATTTTTGCTCTTAGTGACTTATAGGTAGTAGATGTACCAACCTGAGAGACATCTTCAAATCGCTCTCCAAGTTCCCCACTCCAGGAGGAGGTGAAACGAATGAATATGTAATTGGTGATTATCCGTGGATCGGTTAATTGCAGTAGTTCAGTGATCCTAAAGCCTTTCTTTTAGCTGGAGCGACTGAACACCTATCACCCATCAGTAACCACTTACCGTCTCATATAATCGATTTCGACAATCAAGATATCTGGATCAGTCGTAAAATATTTGTGAACAGAATAAGGTGCTGTAGAATGGAAGTATCTGGACCAATCAATCTGAAGAGGAATCGCATGAAATTTTTTACAAGAAGGGATTATCTAAGAGATGCCACTCACCATGGGTGTTAGTTTCTGCATATCGCTCAAAGGTCTAATGTTATACATTTTGGAATAGTCTCTCCGATCCTCTTCAGCCACCATGATTTTTGCGATCTTCGTCTCAAACTCGATGATCTCATCTACATCCTTTGTGATTTTTTCATCGTTTTTCGGAAGATTGGCGTACTCGTAGATTAGCTTCACCTGAATCAGACGGCTGCTATTTTGCTGTGATGCATCAACAACGATATCTCCATGAGGGAAGTGTTATAGAAATGATTGTACAGACCTTTCCTATGAGGAGTTGTCTATAAGCTTCAATCTTTTTGCCGTGTTTGGCTCGATCCAAGTAGTAGTCACGTGTGTACTCTCCCAAACCGAGATCTGCTTGATCGAACTGCAAACGTTTCGCGGTAATTCTTGAGAAATATTGAAGCAGTTGTCTTTTATTCAAATGTTCATTTAAGCACACCAGACGATGAGATCAGGTGGATCAAGCTCTCCGATCGTAAGATAAAGCTGTTCACTAGTGCTTCATAAGAACGCTAAGTTATGGGCAAA